TGTCTGGTGTCTGTATCCGTTTTTATTATATACGTAATCTCCGAAACTGCCGCACCGATTGTCTGCAAATTTTATATGTATATTAGAAATAGCATGTAGATGGTTAAGTGCTAACCAAAATTTGGCTAATCATCCCCACCAAGAATTTGACGACGTCATTTCAATGGTTTGTATTTTAAAATGTTTTGAATATTTTACAAAAATATGCTCCTATACTTGTAGTGTACGAGTCCGCTTCCAGTTTTTTCGCTAAACGTTCGAATTTTCGCAAAAACATTTGCAAGTTATAACAACGTTATATTACCAACACGGGATATAAGTCTCCGTGGCGCAGTAGTTTAATGGCTTTCTTGGCAAACTAGCGACGTTAGATCGTAGTTTTGATGCCGAACTTGACCCTTTATTTTTTTTCTTGTATGGGTAATACGCTGTCGATGACGTTATCACAAATTTTTTATTGTACAAATTAAGAACGAGTCACACCATTTCCTCGAAAATGTGAAGAATACGCAATTACGCACTTCATTATATAATAATGATAAAATAAGAATTTATAATATTCAGAACATTTTGTTTAATTGGTTTAATTAATAATTTTAGTCCTTTGTTTTGAGGAGACAACTCATTCAAATTAAACAAATTTATACATGACATTCTTTCGATAAACATTACAATCGAAGTTAAGTATGTATGTATACTTATAATAATACACTATTTTCCGTTGATTATTTGCTTTTGAATATATTTTATATTGTCCGTATGTCTGTGGACGGCACTTCCTTGGAATTTGCGCCCCGCGGCGCAGGTGATTCGAGGTCTCATTTACACCACTGGTTTTTAATGTATAACGGCTATCAGAAAACATTTTTTTAAATGATTTTTCAAAGAAGCGGAATCTGTTCGACTGTACTTCAAGAACGGGCGAAGTTCTGTCGAAGTAACTTTGGAGCAATTTTTTTCATTATACCCAAAATCATTATGATTTTTCCCAATATTATCACTGGCAATAATAGGAACACAACGAATGGCAGTATAAGGAACACTGCAGTTATTAAATTTTATAAAATATGCAGCCCTAGTTTGTTAGGTTGTGTTATGTTATGGTCAACGCGCGGAATTGTATCTCATACGCTAGAACCAGTGCTGTCGCGGCGATAGTTTGATTACAAATATATTTTTCTTTTGGTCTATTTCAACATAATATAACATTTCAAGATCACAAATCTGTGGTCCTGTGGTTGAAAAATTAAAAAGGGCATCAAGTATTATTATTTGAAGTAATATAGTAATATAGAAGTAGTTTTTTTACTAGCTGTAAACACTCCTAGCGACGCACTGGCTACGACCTTGTGGACCAGATCAAGGCGTCCCCGCTACTCGCCGTAAAACACACCTTACTTCAACTGGGGGATTGCAGCGGTGAAACAAATTCCCGCGTAGTGGTTATGGTACAGCAGCACAGTTGTATTGCCTTTACGTAGTATAAAAATTAATAATGACTTCAAGTTTATGAGAATCAATTACTTCAGTGGCCCAAATAGGTCGATCTTTTCCTTAATATACACTGCCAGACAAAAAAACCCGGACACTTGAATGTATTCATTAACAAAAAACAACTTTATTCTAAAACATGTGGAAACAGAAAAAATGTAAAAAAGTTATAATATTACTAAACATTAGCGTGTCCGGGTTTTTTTGTCTGGCAGTATATTTTAGCAGTAAACAATTACTTGTAGATGATTTTTTTGTCGTGACCGTATTAGGAACATGGTAATATATGGCTTAGGTATAGTGAACCAAGACCTATAAGGTTATATGGCCATCATAAAAGTAGTTGGCCGCAAATAAATACCCCCTTTGTGTGGTTCGCACTAAGCTTACCGGTTGGCAATAAATCATCTTCTAAACATTTCTTGCTCATATTTAACAGGGCCGGCTTTCAAAGCGAGTGGTTATTTCGGAACCCTCAGCGGCTGCAGGTAGTAAAGAAATAGTGGAGTGGTGGATTTTCATATTTAGTGAAAGCCGCCCCTGAACGAAACCACAAGAGCCGGTCGAGCTGCAGTGGACACGTTATTTACGACCCTAAAACCTTTTCTATTGTAAACAACTTAACTTCGACACAATGGGATGATTTTATGATGGCCATATAACCTTATAACTCTTGGTTCACTATATCTTAGTATTAATAATATTATGCAGAGATTTCAAAATCAGAAGAAAGCAAAAAAGCCCATGATAGAATCAAACGTGCAACCCACGGTAATCACTGCGTTATCGAATATCCTTGTGCGAGTTCTGCTTAAATTAGTATAAAACATTGCAATAAAATTTCAATTGTCTCGACGGAAACTTAAAGGCGAATTCATAAACTACAAGTACAATGTTGGTTTTCAAAATTTACGATATTTAGTATTAAAAATTTTGTGGGGATGTCATCACATCATCCGTGGAGATGATCGGATACCACTGAGGTTAAGGTTTTACCAATGCCAATAATATTCATATTACTTATATAAAATTTGGCAACAATCGGTCCAGTAGTTTTGGAAATTATCTATTTAATAGAAATCGACATAAACAGACGACAGATAGATGGCAGACAGACGGAAACGTTGAGAACACATTAAAGTACCTATTCGCCGGATGGACCCTTTACAATACTTCCTTAGCTTCCGCTAGAGAAGTAAAAATGAAATCATTATTGAGCCAGATTGAGGAAAAACTGTAAGTGCTAGACAGCTGATTTATTTAGACCAAAAATTTACTTCCACTAGATCTTGCAAATACAGAAATTGACTACATATTTCGTTGCTTCTAACAAGAAGCATTACATCAGTTACCAAATGTTATTCAAATCGAGGTCTTCATTCAACTGAGTATAACTCGATTTTACACATTTACTTTCAAGAAAGTACGAATTAACAACAGATATGGAACTCTAGTGACGTGGAACTTACTATTTGAATTCTTTGTTTAAAATATAAACACTCAATTTAAAATTAATGTTACTTTTTTGTTTTGTTGCTTTTGAAATAAATGGAAAATATCAAACTGCAAAAATGTGAGTATGTATATTAATCATTATTTGTGGCCACTGATGTAATTTTTTTTTTTAATTAGATTAATCCTATCAAGTTCAGCTTGTACTGAATCTCTGAAATCGAAGATTCATTGAGTTGATTAAAACAATAGGAAAATGAGTTAAAATTGGTTAAAGCCTAGGCGAAATCTCAAGCAACAAGGATAAACGATTTTGGAAAATACATAACCAACTCGCAATTTTTGTTACAGCACATGTTTTGGGGCATAATGTTTTTTTTTATGAAATATTTACTTAAAACACAAACGCTTGATATAAAATTTATATTAATCTTTAGTTTTTGAAATGCAAAATATAAAATTTCAAAAATTACTCTCAAGTTGAGCTTGTACTCGTACTATAACTCTGCAATCAAGGAATTATTGAGCCAGCTATAGAAATTGAAAATACTTGCTTAGCTTACACTTGGGAAGTAAAAACTATTCAAATCGATTAAATCCTATTAGGCGAACTCTTAAACAATAAGGAAATATTTCCGCTGTTTATTTTGATGCGAAGATTTTTGTTAGCACAGGAAGTCATTTGTTGTAGTTATTATTATAAATACATATAAGGTAATTATGTACATACTACTGTGTGAGTACACACACAGCTTCATTTTTGTCAAAAGATAGGCTATATTAATTTCTCGGATCAATTCTAGCGAATATTTTGATTAAGAAGCTGCTTCCGCGTGCTATTTTTGCTTTTATAAATGGATACACAAACAACAAAAAACCAAAATTTAGTTGTAGATTGTAATTTAAAAATTTGTTGGTACTTCTGTCTGCCAACGGAATATGATATTCTCAACGCGTTTCAAGATTAAAATTAATTGAAATTTTGAACGTCCTTTCGGTTGAACAGCGTAATGGTATTCACAGAGCAGGAGTGCCAACTAAAATTAAAAATCACAACAAACACTATTTGCTCTTTTTGGTCTCATACCAGACGTACCAAATGCTACAAAAATGTAGATATTTTGTCGAACACACCCGTAAGTCATTGATCCCGGCAAATCTCCACGCTTAAATCGTCTGACAAGTGTAATTGTGCTGGTTCATTTATTTTTTATTCTCTCATAATAAGTACATCTGTAAGCTCAGTACAACTTCCCCTTCAGATCAACTCAAACGTAATATAATAACGAAATAAAGAGAGGAAACATTCGCGTTGTTTTTGTTATGGGTAGTTAAAGCTGCAATTAAGTGAGCGTCTTAATTTATGTATAAAATTTCACTTAACACACCAGTTTCATACAATGTAGTGTCGCCCATTATAAAGGATATAATTAATAATAATACCCTTACATAACACACTCGTTTATTGGAACGGCATTATGTATAATTATACGATGAAAAATTGATAGCGGTGTCCATCACGGGCAGTAATTACTTACTCTCGACGTTCGGTAAACTGAAAAATTCCGCATACAATAAAACTTAAATAGGTCGACATGACCAGCCGTAAAACCGCCGTAAAATACCTCGGAATGACTTAACGCACAGAATTATGAGTTTAATAAATAGGAAAAGTGCAGTGTTGCGTCAAGATTCGGTAGGTGTCGAAATGAATTGTGAAGGAAGTTCGCTTGCACCAATCACGTTCGTTTATCATTTCAGAATTTTTCTTAAAAGTATTCAAGTGATAAGTGTCCTTTCCCACATTATCCTTCGGCAAACCATAAATTAGTCTCCACACGTTATAATTTAAACAATCAGTGATTGATAAATTGCTTGCTGTCATTTTCACGCTAAATTGCATTGATGCGAGACGTACTTTCGCTCGTAACGTCTAACCTTAAAGTTTAATGGTACTATAGAGCGGATTTTTCTTCTGTAAATGACACTTAACTGTCGTTTAACTATCCTTTCTAACTAGTCGTGATTGCGTGCTTTTTAAAGTTTGACATACTTACCGACTGTGAATTGGAATTTCAATAGTAGATGGAACACGAGCAGCAATTGAAGTTTGACGATAAGTGCAGCATTCATTGCGATGGGAGCTTCTCTGGATACTGGCTGGGCCGAGGCCCTCTGCAGCCAACACTTACATGCTATGGACCATCAACAATGGCTATCTGGAAAGAAACCGCCATTTAATAATTAAGAGCGAAAAACTGCAGACATAATCAAGAGTTATATTTAAAAATGAATTTTCACCTAGCAAAACACAGTGTAGGTACCTTTTCAGTGGTACAAGGTACCAAAATGCGTGTAACAACTTTTCTCTGAAAGTTCCTATTTCGTTGATAAACTTTCGGTGGGGATAATTTAAGCATACCCAGTGTGACACTAATCACAACGTTACTGCGTTGCCAGAATTTCAAGAAAATACTTTAAGAGTTTAGATGTGATGCAATGGGGATGCCGAGCTACTGTGGCTTGCCGCGAAAAGCCCACGCTACATACCAATCAGATTGGTTCTTAGCCGATATGCATGGAATAGTCGTTGTAGACTCATAAAAAATATTGAGTACTGCGCTCAATTTTCTAAAATAAATAAAAAAACGTTTTACTTTTTTACTTTTCGAGTGTTAGACTAACTCTATTGTAGAGGCGATTTGACAAACGGTTGATTTCACGTTGTCTCGGCTTTTCATAGCAGGTAGAATATGAAAAAATAGGTCTCCTGTTTCCGTCTGTCTTTCGCCTATTCGCAGTTTTATATGACAAGTACCGAGGGAGCAATAAAAAACACGATCAAAGACAGCCATGGGTTTTCGAAAGTTTGTCTTTGATCGTTGTATTTTCAACTCAAATTTTCAAATTGACGGTAATCTGATAAGACGATAATTATATCAAAGACAAATCTTCAAAAATCCATAGCTCTCTCTGATCGTGTTTTTTATTGCTCTCTCGATATTCGAATATGTATATCATTACATCATGTGTGGTAAAATTTACGACATTTCAAATAAAATTACTACTTGAATTACACAATACACAATTTCAGGTCCACTGTTTAAATGCTCACACTATGTAACATTGTAAGTACAAACGATTACTATTCATAAAAAATACTAATCATGTTTCTGACTGGCAGTTGTTAAGGTGATACACAGGATGTTTCATGTGACTGATTTATCCAATTACTTCAAATCTAAACCAAAATCTATTTCATCACAACATCAAACTGTTTTGCTTTTATTCTGAAAAGTAAAGTAACAATTTTTTCAATACATATTGCAATAGTGCAAAATTTACAGTAGATTATATCACAAAATTTTGAAATTAAATTTTTAATTATAAAAAAAAATGTGTAAAAATGACCTAAACAGCAGCAACTGTAGAAATTGTCTTTTTGTTTTTTTTACATGACAACATAGTTTGGCCCATCGATGAGGATGAGTTTTTAAAGCATATTCGTTGGTAAATTGTTTTCAAAAAATAAATAAATATAAACAACTAAATAATCGAGTTTAAAAAACGTATAACTTGTTTCATTTATCGGTAAAGGTTTCGAAGTAATTTTAGCCAGTCAATTAAAAGATCATGAATACAATTAGATATTTACAAAAACATAATAAAAAGATTTTTGAATTTAGTAATTCACTTTTTAAGATTTAATAGTTTGTTTTAATGGCGACGGATACTATCCCTGCGCATCCACCAAAATTGCTTATTTCCTTAATCACAAATTTAACGCAATCATTTTATTTTTTTAACAATCATGTCAATATTTTGTTCATAAATTGATTTTACATTTTGAAAAAATATTTCACAAAATTTTATAATATTATAAAAATTCAAGTTAGCTATCCATTTCGAAGATGTAAATTTTTTCACTTTATAGGGAACTATCACTTTTTTTAAATTATTGATTGGAAATGTTATAATGACAAACTTTTGTCAATTTATTTTCAAAGTCATTAAGTAAATTTGGTATTGTCATTAAAATCATGTTTTATGTTAATCATATTAACAACATTACAAGTATTGTTGCTAACTTCATCAGACGTTGATTTACGGCACGTTTCGACTTTAGACACCTACCACGTTTACTAGGGAAGAAATAATTATTGAAAAATAAAATTTGTTTAAAAGAGTTGTTTCCTCCTCCTTCATTGTAAGTATTTACAGGTTTTGTCTTGCTTTATTATGACCTATAAAATAAAAAAAAAATAACCTATCGTCGTAAACTTATTTATTATGAATGTTGGGTTTACCTGACATTATTTTCGTGGAAGCGAAAGACCACTAAATTTGCGTTCGAAAACGTACAAAAACAATAGATTTATCTTGCAATATGTTTTGTAGAAAATAAAGTTCAAAGTTCATTTTACAACACACGTCAGTTTATATATTAACATGTTTAATGCAACTCACGACACATTTTTTTCCATAACATCTAACAACTTTGAAAATTACGTGGATTACCTGCATCTCGGAACTTTTAATGGAAGCTTGCAACCACAATTGACCTTGATTGTTTTTTATCGTCGGAAAAGCCATGAAATAATTTAATTTAATTATCAAGTCTCACTAAACACGGTAATTCGACACTGTTATAGTATAATTTTTAATTTTATAAAATGTACAATTCTTGCTCGTAACGATATCGCTTCTTGTGGCGATCAAGGCGAAAATGAGCGTCTGTGTCCGTTCAAAACCGATAGTGTGCTGTCATATAAAGTAAACAAGTCGCTATTTTTTATTGCAACATGTTTTGTAAATAAACCCGTACATGTTTATATTTGCGTCTGTATTTTAATATATGTGTTAAGTAAGACACCAGCCAAATAAGAGAAATTGGACGCTGTTATCAGCACCGCCATCGAAGTCCTTAGTGAACAATTTCGCGAAAGTAATAAAAATCCAATCTCGGCGACACGAATTTAAATCCAGCACTTAATTGGCCGGCCCAAGAATAAATAAAAATGTGAGAGTTACGATTCGGCTTTGGAACAATAATAATCAATTAAAATCGCCATTCAAACTTCTGCAATAAAAACTGTACTATTTTTAAATGATGAATATTGGAGGAGTCATCTCATGTGGGTTCGTATATCACTTTTATTACGCCGATCTATTGCAATTTATTTGATCTTCAACCACGCTCACTCTATTATAAAATAAAGAATCACTTGCGGATTATTCTTCGGGTTAAAAATAGACGCATTTTTGACTCGAATAGAAACCGGGGGCGTTTTTCCAACTAAAATTACCGGCACGTAGATGTGATGTATACAACCGCGTTCCAACGTCAAATTATGTCAGTTTATGCATTCAGGCATCATTGCTTGTCGCGAAATAATTTCTAGCCAGGCGTCGACTTTCGTAATTTATTAATGCGTTCTTAAGGCAGAAAATAGTACGGATTTCACATATTTGTCGAGAGTAGGCATGTACTGTTACTAATTTCAACACGTCATAAACCGGGATTCAATTTATTTGGAATTTTTAAAAGCATGTTTATGCAAACACGAAGTGGCTTTAAAAAGCACACGAGATACACAAAGGAAATACGTTCGAGTGACAATTTCGACCTAGCTACTTCACCGCGGTGTGACACTTTTTTAAATAAACTGTTTTATAAATGTTTCTAGAAGTTATCGTTCATTCATTCCTATACAGTGAATGCTCTGTAAATTAAAGACTAAGAACTTAAATTAAAAAAAAAAATAGCAAGAAAGCTTCAGAAAAAATAACAAAACTTGGTTACTAAAAGGTCACCCTAGATGGATGTGTATGGACAAGGAAAGCGAGAAGAAAAAAGTACTAGTCATAATTTAGTATTGTTTCTGCTTGTTTAATAACTTGCCTAATTTTTTTAATATAAAAAAATATTTCTTTGCATTTTTTAATAAAAAAAATATATCTATATATATATACATAAAAATACACCAGAGAAGAATCGAGAAGATTAAAAATTCGCTTATCTTACAATCGCTGAACGGAATAAACTGAACTGAAATTGTTTTTCGAAAAGTATTTTTGTTTTATCTTAATGAAAAAAATATACACGGTGCACAAAATGTATAGGACCTCTATTACTATTCTTTTAATGCATATCTACTAGTGATGGTATCCAAAATGGTCATACTCATAACACAAAGCAAAAATGATTCATTTTTTAGATGTCTAGACATGTGTTACTTCTGCAACAGATTTTTCGATACAATTTATTGACCTACTAAGAAAATCAGAAACTGTATTTATATATAGTTTTCTTCGAATCTACAAGTTTACTTAATCTACGAAATCAATTTCGTATTTCTCGGATAAAATTAACCGAACTCCGCAATACTAAGCCGGTAGGTATTGTTTTACAGATTGTTAAAATAAGTGTTGTTGACCATGATTTTTTCGCTTAAAAGCTAAAGATCCGGTTGGCGTTTAATTAAACGATCATTTTATTTACTGAACTCCGTCTAAGCACGTAGCACTTTACCAGCAACGTTTATTGTCCTATCAGAACAACACATGCAGGTTTGGAAGTGTTCAGCCAAGTGTAACCATGAAATAACAAATGTCAGTTATTTAATTAGCACTAAATCTGAAAGCGAAAGTGTGTGCATGGTCTACAAATTCCTTTGAATGTGAAAATATGGCACTTGTTCCGGGGGCGGTCAATTTTTTACTCTTGGTAGATTTAGATGCTAGTCTTGTGGCATTGGCAGAAATATTAAATAATCAAGTGAGAAACCTTGCAGGATTTATTTCTTAAGACGCCAGTGAATTGGTATAATTAGCGTAAAATGAGCGTCTATTCTAGTATTTTGTAAATAGCAAACCAATAAATTATCACGTGCTAACGGCGCCTAAAGATAAATTTTTGTCACTCGTTGCCAAATTGTCAAATCTGTACGTGGTAGGCGCCTGTGTATAAATAATACACACGTGTCCGAGGATTTGAATGAACTTGTTTACGCAAATAATTCGGCAAGTGCACATAGCAACGATTCCTCAATTATTATTGTCAACCGCGAAAAAAGAGAAAGGAATGCATTGTGGCGTCCCGCGTGATTATTTATTTTAGGCGTCACAGTGAGGCCACGATTGACTGAAATATATTAATATTTTGTCATTTTTAAATAAATAAGTCACATTTAATAATAGACATTTTTCCTGAAATAAT